CCGCGCGGCCCCGCCCGCCCCCGCCGCCGCCTGGCCCACCCTCCGCCTCCTGTTTAGCGTCGTCGCGCGCGCGGATTTTTCCGGACCTTGCTATTGCGGGTGGGCTGCAAGGGGGCAAGTCCTCGATCCGAAGCTGGCCTGGTCACCTAATTTTTATTTTCAGAGAGGGGAGAGAAACGAGGGATATAGATCATTAATTCTCAACCTGGGAAAGACTTGGGAAGTTGAAAAACCCTGATGCCCAGGCTTTACCCTATATGGACACCAGAATACCTGCAGGTGGGACCCACTAAGCAATGGAGTTCAAAACTCCCCAGGTGGTTCCACTGAGCCGCCGAGGGAATGAAGGTGAATGCGCTTCTAAATAGGTTTTCTGGCTCCAGCCTGGCGCAAAGCCCGCTCTTGCTCTCTGGCCCCGCTTGCACACTGGCTACACGCTCCACTGAGATCCTCGCCGGCCGTTTCCCATTGAAGGAGCGCAGGACCGAGACACTGAGCACGCTTTTAGCAGTATGTGCTCCTGGAATGTTTAAGTGACTGTCCTGGTCCGTACCGTCATTAAAACAACGTAAAACATTCCTTGATGGCCCTAGCAGATGCTGTAGCCCCGCCCTCGGCCAGGTGACCCGGTGGCGCCCGCGATGCCCAGAGCCCTGCGCCTCCCTCCTTGTGTCCCCGTGGACACTGGCTCTGTGCAGGTTGGCGGGGCGTTGGCATCCACGCCTTGGACTGGCTTGGGGAGCTGGATGAACAGCAGGTTCCTTCCCTCCCTGCCTGCCTCTCCCTGGCACTAGGGGAGCAGGATCTGAAGCAGAGGCTGTTAGACACAAGGGGCCCAAAAGACAAACATCTCAGTGGGACAAAAAGGCCTTCATCTGTTTTGGCTGAGGCCCTGGGCTGGGATGTGGTGGGGTCGACTTCTCAGGGGTCCCCTCCACCCTTCCCCTACCCCCAGAAGCCAGGAGACCAATAGGGAGAGGTGACTTGCTGTGCTCTGAGCTGCACTTTGCATATCAAAGGGCCCAAGATCAGTGACCTCCATGGTTCTCCTCACTCTAAACTGGTGAAGAAAGGATAAGGTAACATTCTAAATGAGATGTGTCGAGTTTCAGGTTTTACTCAAATTCTAGAAACATCCTAATTTTAGCTAATTCCACATACGTTTATTGAGCCCCACCTGTTGGCTAAAGATGATGCCAGGACTGAACCCACTTGACGGCACTTGACAACAACAAACAGCATGCTAGGACTGAGGAGAAAAACATGAATAAGACATGGACTTTACTCGCTTGAGATATCAAGGAGATTGTCCCATGATTTCCGCATTCTGTTGGGTCACCTCTCTTTGGAATAGGCATAAACATTGATCTCTTCCAATCAGTCGGCCAGACAGTTGTCTTCCAAATTTCTTGGCAGAGATGAGTGAGTGCCTCCTGTGC